AAGGGTGGAGCAATGGCCACTGGCTCCTCTTCTCAGGGACTCTGTGGCTCCAGATTTGTCACCTGTCACCTGATACTTCCCGGCCCAAGAAGCTACAGCTGGTAGGAAGGAGCCTGGACCTGTAGTGCTTGCTCCTGGGACCCCTGCTGGCCCCTCTCTGTCCTGCCCGTATCTGCCCCAGGCCACCCCTGCGGCCTAAGGCCACAGGTAGGCAGGGCAGGGGCTGGCCCTAGGCAGTCCTGGGGGCTTCTGCCACCTCAGAACATTCCGAAGAACCGCCCTCGACCCATCCTCAGGACGCGCTTCAGCGGGGCGCCTCCGGAGACGGGTCTCACCCCCCATCCCTCCCTCCCCGAGCTCTGGCCGGCTTCCCAGGAGGGGTCGGAGAGGGAGCGCCCTGAAGCAGCCTCCACCTGCCGGGGCCGACCCTGCTCCCTCCTGAAACACGCCACGCGGGTCCCTGGGACACGCCAGGCACAGTGGCCTGCTGGAGGCGGCGCAGGGTGAGAGGAGGGGCAGCGGGAGTGTCACCCCAGATCTGCCAGCACGGCTGACGCCCCTTGGCAGTGGACTGAGACCCTGGCAGGGCTTTGCTCTCAGACGTCCCCTGGGGCCAAGCTGGAGGGCACAAGGAAGGGACTGTGCCTGCTCCCAGGGCCCCCCAACGTGGCCACTTGGGAACTTTGCAGCCCAGCTTCCAGGAGATCTGGGGCACCGTGATGGCCCTGAGGTCACTGGGCTGGTCTCCCCACTCCCCTAATTGCACCTGGGTCCTTGACACCTTCAGTCACGTCTGGTAGTTTCTGGAACACAGGGTCTCCATGGTTTTACCCTGGCCAGGTGGTCCCGAGGGCCCGTGCTCACAGCGCAGGCCTCACTTCACCTTCCCCGGGGACACACCTGACCGAGTGCCAGCCCTGGGAATGGGGCGGGCAGCGCATCTCCTGCCAACACCACGCTTGGCAGAGGGCCCTCCAGAGCCGCCCCCCACCCAGACACAGACATGTGAGATGAAGCTTGGGGTCACCGGTCACCACGGAGATGCGAATTAAAACCGTAATGAGGTATCCCCTCACACCTGCCAGGACGAACGGACGTCAAGAAATCAAGTGCTGGCCAGGATGCGGAGAAGGGGGCCTCGTGCACGGTGGGCACACGTGCAGACTGGTGCGGCCACTGTGGGAAGCAATGTGAAGTTTTCTCAAAAACTACAAATGGATCTGCCCTTTGACCCCAGCAATCCTATGCCTGGGTACTTAGCTCTTCAAAGAAACTCAAAACTCTAACTTGAAAAGATACACGCACCCCACGTTCACTAAAGCATTATTTACAACACCCAAGATATGGACACACCTACGTGTCCATCGGTGGACCAGTGGGTAAAGAAGCCGCAGTCCATGTGTGCAGCGGACCGTTGCTCAGCATGAGAAAGGATGGCGTCTGTTTGTGGCAGGATGGCCGGGCCTGGAGGGTATTGTGCTCCCTGAAATAAGTCGGAGAAGGACGGACACCACAGGACCTCCCTTAAATGCGGAATTTTTTAAAAGATTTTATTTATTTATCTTTAGAGGGGAAGGGAAGCAGAGAGGGAAAGAAATATCAACGTATGGCTGCCTCTTGTGTGTCCCCTGCTGGGAACTGGCCCGCAACCTAGGCATGTGCCCCGACTGGGAATCGAACTGCCATTCTTCGGTTTGCAGGTCTGCGCTCAATCCACTGAGCTACACCAGCCGGGGCTATTTTTAAATAACAGAATAAACATATAGAAACAGCCTCAGAGAACAGTAAACCAAGGGTCGTCAGCCCTGGCCAGGTGGCGCAGTTAGGTGGCGCACTGTGGGTTCAATTCCCAGTCAGGGCATAGAACTAGGTTGCGGGTTCAGTCCCCAGTCGGGGCGCACGTGGGAGGCACCTGCTTGGATGTCTCTCTCTCTCTCTCTCAAATCAGTAAACATATTCTCAGGTCAGGGTTAAACCTCGGGTTTCCGGAGGGGAGGAGGGTTGGGGAACTGAGGGAAAAGGTGAAGGGACTGAGAAGGACAAACCGGCAGCTGCAGAACGGCCACGCGGTCAAAGGGACGTGAAGGACGGCACAGGGAATGCATGTGATCCACGTTGTTGGAACGGCTACGGCTGCGGTCGGCTGGACACCGGACTCGGTGGCTACGCTGTACACCTGAAACTAACACCAAATACTACCGAACGCCGAAGAGAGTCAACACACGCACAGCAATGCTCCGCCGCCACCCCGAGTTGTTTCTGTCCCGGACTGGATCTCGGGGACCCCGCTGGTCTGCGAGCCGCGCCCTCGCCGCCGCCGGCCACCCGCTCCTTCCCACGCCCTGGGGCGTCTCCTAGTCACCCCTTCACATGGGTCCTCAGCATTGCTTACAGCGAAGGGCTGCACGGGGCACGTTCGCTCAATCTCTGTGCATGTGCATAGGGAAGAACTCTGCATTTTGCCTTCATCTTGAAGATCTGGATAGAGTTGTCGTTCGGCCGCTTTCAGCCTTAGCCCTTCCCATGGCCTCACGCCGCTTCCCGTCTCCGCTGCTCACGCACGAGGGCCCCTCGGTGCCTGGCCTCCTCCCACAGCCACCAGGGTTTTCTCCACCTTGTTTGCCTTTCCTGGGACATGGTTTTCATCCTGCTCCAGGTTCACTGACGTTCTTGGATCTGTAATCAACATTTTCCACCAAATTCGTGCTAGTTTTTGCTATTGTTTCTTCACGTGTGCTTCTGGTCCCTTCCTCCATTTCCTCTTCTGCCTGAGGCGGGGCCAGATCACATGAGGCATGGCACCAAAGGTGGCCTGGACACCGCTGGACACAGGTGTCCCTCTGCCCAGTCTGCAGGAAGGGAGCCTGGCCCGTGTTCCCCACGAGCACCTGAACGGGCCCAGGCCTTGCCTCCTCCCCTCCCCACGTCGTGGCTCTCTCCACGTCCGGCCGGGCCCGGCCTCATCCGCCGGACCGCCCCCCTCCTCACACTGCTGTATGTCCTCCCGGCTCCCCTCGACCTCCACCTACCTCCTTGTGGGAAAGCCCACAGCTCCGGTCTCAACACTTGCTCCCTTTTGTCTATGGCAAGAGTCACCTCCCTCAAAGACATGGAGGGACAGCAGGCCCCCTGCTGCACTGGGCACGCCCCCGGGGCACTCAGTGAGGTCGGTGGGAGCACCCATCCCACCCCCACCAGGCCAACACACCATGCGGTCACATGAAGAGAGGGACCTGGAGCCACCAGAGTGCGTCCTGCCTGGGGGGGCAACGCTGGATGGGACGGTCAGGGTCCCCGGGGGCGGCCACACCAAACCCACATCCCAGCTGAAGCAGGAGAAGATGCTAGGAGTTGAAGGGGCATTGGGAGGAGAGCCATGTCCACTCTCAGGTGACCGGAGGTACAGAGGTGGCAAGCACGCCTCTCTCTTCACAGCCACAGTCCGAGGCCAGCGTCCAGGCCTCAGAGCTGAGAAGAGGCAGCAGCTCTGACGGGTCGGCACCCCTCCCTGGAAACAGCGCCAGCTTGGCTCCGCTCCCCACACACATCGCCAGGGACCAAAGGAGTGGGGCTCAGGGGCGCCGGAGGTGTCTGGTGCTAAACATGAGGCTCCCGACCGGCTGTCCCCAGTCCGTGCAGTTCCGGGGAACCGATGCCCTCTGAACCCTGGGGCCCGGGCAGGGCCAGAAAGCATCTACTCTGTGCTGGGTGGGGTCACGCTCCGACAGAGAGAGGGCGTGCGGGAAACTGTTTTGCTTCATATTTTATTACATCAATGGCTTGAAAATTTTTATTTAACTTCAGCAAATATTGGAAATAGAAAAATGAATTCTGCAGAATTTCACAAATAAATTCTCCAATCTCCACTAACCAATGTTATTATCCAACAGCTAAGCAATTATAATGCTATGAACATTCACCATAATGAATGTACTGACATAAAAAACAGGCAAAAAGAGACATTAAAATATTACTTACACAGCATTGTTACAACATCTCTTCTTTAAAATCCCAATGTGGATTTTACCACTTCAAAAGATATACAGCATTTCCATTATATTTGCAAACTTAACCTTATACATCTTTTAAAATCTTGAAAAAGTTTTAAGCAATCTAAAAAGCACTTAGCAAAGTAGCAACATGTACGTAATGAACACTCCCCGCTCAGGGGCGGACCTCAGTTTTCGAAGGTGACTGTAAACACTCGTTACCAGACGACATGCATAGACTGGGCCGGCGTCCTCTGAACTGTCCCGCCGCCATGGCTGTGCCTCGCTCTGTGAGGGGAGCGGCAGAGGCCCGGGGCCGGGAGGGCGCCTGCTCCGAGCACTGCGCGAGGCCACCCGCGAGAGCGAACTGCCTTGAGTCGGTGGAGGCAAAGTTTCACTTGACGGTAAAAGCTCGAACCCTGGGTCAGTGGATTTGGAAACGGGCTAGAAAGAGACAGCAAGGGTCCCGACTGAGTGGGCTCCGCCTTTCCTGTGCTCACATAAGCAGGGGTCCAGTTAGTGTAATGCACTGTTTGGCTTGTTTTTGGTGTGCAGTTATACCAATAGTACATCTGATATTCAGAAAGACAAAAATAGGGACAGCTGAAATTTAAAGTGACAATGAGCACACTTACGATGGTGTGTGGTATTTGAGGAAACTTTATATACACAGAAAATAACTGCTTAATTAGTCCCCGATAGTTGAGTTGTAGAACAACTATTTTTTCATATTCATTTTTGATTAGAGGTCCGTGACCATCAAAGGGTCTTTCAGTTAAAAACTGTTAAGAACCATTTCCCGGAACCGGTATCTTGGTCACACACCCCCCGAAACGGCGCAGTAGGTGTGTGGTGCTGACCTCTGGCCCCCACGGGCAGGGCCGCTTTCTGGTTAGAAGAGCTACACTATGGAATTGATCACTGTTTCAAACCAGCCAACACAATATTCAAGTAACAAGGTATCTCGATGGATAAGTGAAAAAAATTTACCTAACACTTTACACATCTACATAAAATTAAATAAAACAAACTTTTAATGCATATGCAATACAATTTATATCTTTTAGGATTTCTAAACTAAAACTATCATTTGTTTCAATGGTACTATATTTTGCACAATAACTTATACTTAGGAGAAATTTTCCACAAAAATATATATATAATTATGACATTCACATTGATAATTTTTAAGAAGACAAAGCTTAAGTGAGTGTTGCATCCGAGGCAGTTGTCACCGTGGACCCTGACACACCCAAGCACGAGCTGCTGACGCACCCAAGTCCTGATATGTCTAAAAGGGTCTTCGCCCAAGTAAGACCAGGTCGCTTCACTTTTAAAGCAAAGCGACTTGTTGCATTTACGACATCATTGCAGACAGTGGAACGACACAGTGGAAAGCACAGTGCTGTCTTATGCGTGAGACCACAGCGAAGGCAGGCAGGCAAAGACGACTAGCTTTCCTCCTCCCGGCGAATGGAAACAACAGCCCCTCTCCCCCGGAGAGCCCCAGCAGCCGCTGTGCGGTGAGCAGACCCGCACAGTGTGTCTCCGGGACGAGGAGCGCCGGGTGCCAGGAGGCGAGGGAGGGTGGTGCAGAGCGGACAGGCCCGGCACTGCGGCGTGCCCACCGTGCTGCGGAAGGACCAGCACCGAGCTTTCCAGTGCTGCCAGAAGGGACCACTTCTTAAGGAAAACAGCCTGGGCGCAAAGGAGGAACAGACCTACTCGTTTCCCTGCAGGAAGCGGCCTCCTGCTTCTGTGAAGAGGAAGGCGGCCACGAGGAGGAAGGAACAACAAAAGCTTCTGTCCATGCCCAGTGTCCCCTCAAAACGATGTGCAAAGCGCAGGCCCTCTCCTGCCCGTGCGCCCCCGCCGTCTGTGATCACACAACAGGCCTGCCCCGCAAGGGAGAGTGAGCGCTTGGCGCTTCCTCGTGTTCTTCTGTCCCTGTCCACGCAGGGTCAGCGAGCTGTGACTGCCCTCCGCCCGCCCGACTGCTCCTCGCCCGCTTCTGCCTGCCTCCCGGACACCCAAAGCAGGGACAAGACGGTGCCGTGGGTAAAGTCCCCTTTTCCTCCCCCTTCTGAGTGACTTCGTCTAGATTCCTAGAAAAACACATCCAATTCCAAAAAATCTATGATTTTAGCCACCCCTCTTCCTAAAGAGAAAGTCAGCTGACTTAAAAAAAAAAAAAAGGCAAGGTGCTCGAGAGTCAAAACACAACAAATTTTAGTTGCATATTTTAAGTTCTTAAGAATTCTGTTTATGCCACCTTAGAGCATCTGCATCTTTTTTCTTTTTGGTATTGAAAGCAGGAAAAATATGCAAATGATGCAAAAACAAAACAAAGAGCTCCCTCAGCCCGGTTAGAGCAGGCTGGGCTGTCTGCGGGCAGGGAGTGGGTGACCTCAGATCCCGGTGGCCGGTGGCCAGTCCGCCCCTCCCGCCCCTCAGTCTGCTGGCCCGTGGCAGGCCCACGGTCTGCTGAGAGCAGAGAAGCGACTCTGGAGGTCTCAGGATGTGGACGAGACGCTTCGCTTGTCCCCAGTCCGACCAAAGGGCAGCACGGGCCGCTCTGCAGGCGGTCCCTGTCATCGCGCCCTCGCCAGAGCCGACAGAGGGCTCACTTCTCTGGCCTGTACTGTACACTGTGGAGAGAGAGGGTGGTGTTCGTGGTCACGCCAGTACACGAAGGACCAAAGGGTGTGTGGAGTGACGTGTGAAGGGCCAGGCATGTGAGAGGACGAGGGACAATGTGCACTTCTGTAAAGCCCTCACCAGCTGGTCTGCCGCCCTGTGACCAAGCGAGACTTATAGAGTCTGCATGGTCAGGATCTGCGGCAAGCCCCCTACCCCCGCCTCAGCGACATCGTCTTTGGCAAGCAGTGAGCGGTAAAGAAGAAATAAGACACCGAAACGGAAACAGGATGGAGAGCGTGGTTGCCAGAGGGAGAAGGCACCAATTCCAAATGTACAAGCACCAGGTACAGTGGTACGGACCAAATCTCTTGGAGCTGGGTGGTGGAGGTGGGGAATTGGGAAACGAGAGGGTGGCACCCACCCGGGGGCTGCCGTGCTGAGTGCTGACGGCAGAAGGTATTGAGGTCCACGTTCCTTTTTAGCTACGTGTCCAAAGAAAGCTATTGCGCATCAGCTTTCTACCAAGTGGGAAAGGAGAGGGAGAGGTTTCAGCAAACCAGACTCATAAACCATGATTATACCCCACTGTCGGGGAGGCGAGAGTTGAATCAGGGTGTTTGGCACAGTAAAGATTATAATGCAGTCAGTCTGCCAATATACTGTGATTCCCAAAAAAGCGTGATCTCATTTAGGTGGATGCCTCAGAAAAGTACAAGAGAAACTTTCTAGAAGGCCGGCAGGGTCGCAGTCACTCTGGAAACGACGTTATGCACAAAGTGGAAACCGCAGGCCATGCAGGGACAGCGTCGTGCCTTCCGGACCGGCCGCCTGTTCTGGAGCTGCTGACGGGAAGAGCTGCCACTGGTGGGCTCTGGCGCTCTGCCCAGGTGGTGGCCCCCAGACTCAGGCGTGCAGGCCAGGGACCCCCTCCCCCAGCACGCACGCAGACTGAGAGATGCACGGAGCTCTCCGGGAAGTGGCGCCAACATGGAGGAACGAGCAAAGGTTTAAGGCAGATGTAGCACAGGACCGGAAGTGTATGCCTTTTTTGGTAATAGCTGCTTGTCCACAGAGATGTGATGCGGATGGCTAGGTGATGTCTTGTAATACCTGATATCCTGGGTAACACAGTCGTCCATACCAAGTGCTGGAAGCTACTCGAGTTTCTCAGGAGGCAGACGCATATCTGACGTCAAGAACAGAAGCAGCCTGAAGAAGGGAGAAGAAAAGAGTCTCAGAGCAGGAAACACCACGACTCTGGTGTCCTGTAGGTGGGAAAGGGGCAGGCAGACACAGGGCGCGGCAGGCGGCCGGGCTCCAAGGGCAGGCGGAGGAGGCGGCTGTGCTGAGGCAGAGCGTGGCCCCCACACCCAGACGTCCTGGGCTCAGACCCCCGCTCTGCCGCTGTCCAGCTGGGTGTACCTGCACAAGTTACTCTTTTTGAACTCCACTTCCTCTTCTGCAGAATGGACACCGTAATCATGTCTACTACAGGGGAGTAAACAAGGCCCCCAAAAGGGCAGTTGGCACATCCTTGGCAAAGTCACACTCAGAGGCACCGGCACCAGCTGGAGGGGCTGCCGGGGAACCCCCCCAGTCAACAAGCAGGCCCCAGCTCGGCCGGGACGCAGGGGCACCAGGGTCCCTGAGCCTGCAGGATGTTCTGTAAACGCTTCCCAGGCATTTCTTAATTTTCTGCCTTCATTTTAAAACCCAAATCCCAGACCCGAACCTCAAGGTTAGTCATGGCTCAGCTCAAACCACAGAGCTTTGTGCTCCTTCGTGTGAGGCCGGTTCACAGAAACTGCACAGACTCAGATGAGGACCCTCCTCGGCGGTGCGCTGGATCAACCCCCGACTGATTAACGAGCTTCTCTCCCACCAGGCAGCTTCGGCAGTGCTGCTCCGTGCCCTCTGGGGCTGTGGCCCCAGCCCCATCCTTGGCTTCCTCAGAGAACTCGGGGTCTCAGAAGCTCAGGCCCTGTGGCTGCCCTCCCTCCTCAGCCTTGAAGGAAAGAGCGGGTCTTATGTCCTTCGTCTGTAAGGAAGATGAGGTGCCTGGGAACTTCTCCACCCTCATCCCTACGATTAGCCTGTTGTAAACTGGTTCGGACTGGAGTCTGCCCAGAACCTGTTAGGGATGTCGCGTGAGGATTCTCTGCCACAGGACATCTGGCCCCCTGAGGTCCCCCTCCCCGTCTGTGTGGCACAAACAAAATCTGAGGGTGAGGGACAGGCAGGGCCCAGTACGCAGCTTTCTCAGCGGCCAGACTCCCCGAAACAAACACGAGTGCAGAAGCACAAGGACACTACGCCCCGCGCAGTGACGTAACAGAGAGCCAGCCGGTGCTTTAGCAACTGCGGTCAGGGCACAGAAATGCAGCCAGCTTCACAGTCAAGCTCCTTCTGCCAATGGAGAACAGAACACCAGGGTGCCGGTGTGCAAGGGTTTGTGCTGTAAGAAGCAGGAAAAGAATCAGACTAAAAAAGGGAAATCCAAGTGTGTAAAGAGTGGTTTTTAAAATGCACTAATGAGAGAGAGAGAGAGCAGCATTAACCTGTGTGTGTTCTACTGAGTTACGCACTCAGCGGTCGGTTTCCGCGTGTGCTGGAGGACCTCCAGCTTCGGGACGATGCTTCCAGCAGCTGAGCTGCCCAGCCAGGACTGTGTGCGTGCATGTGTGCATGCATGCGTGCTTTAAGTGGCAAGAGAAGAGAATAACTTCACGGGAAACATAAAGACTATATACAGACGGTACCCCTCTTCCTGAAGAGCGGACACACGGAAGGTCAGGCACCAAAGAGAAGTGAGCCCTGCTGCTGGGGCTGCAGACCGCAGAGGCGGAGAAAAGAGTTACGTGGGCGTGGTGGTGGAGAATCGGCGTGGGGCGCGGGCCGAGTGGACGGACCAGCACTAAGAATGGACCTTCTGGACTGATCAGAAGGAAAGAGAAAGGAACGGACAGATCTAAGTTGTCTGTAAACGAACCAGAAACAAGAAGAGAAGGAAAGTACGAACGTGAGGACTGACGCCCTGAACTGCCACCCGGCCGGCGCCGGCGGTGGCACTGTCTGCGAGGGAAGGGAGCGGCTCCCTGTCCTTCCTGCTTTCTGGGACCGATGACAGCGCGCTTTCCTGCAGGTTTCGGTGTTCTGTCTGTGGGCACCTCATCTTTTTAACGCTTCCTAAACAGAGCCCAGGACTTCGGGACGTCCACCTGCTGCCACAGGGGCAGTGGGCCCGGGGCAAAGCCACTGCCCGAGACCAGAACACTCCTGTGCTGCTGCTGTGCTCTCATGCCGCAGGGCTGCAGGCTGCCCACTCACGGGGGCAACTCGGGGGCACCGCTCACACTGGCAATGCCACAGATGTTGTACAGTTATCACAAAGATTTTGTTCTGGTAGAAGGCTCTAGAAACGTCTAACACGGTCGGTACGTCTCAGCACCCTGGCCAGTGGGCACCCCCACGCTCAGGCCGGCCAGACCTCCAAGCTGCCTCCACAGCCGGGCTCCCCGAGGAGCACTCAGAACGGAGGACGGGGCACTTCGGTCATTCCCGTGTGGTTGCTGGAAGGCTCAGATGGGAAAGTGACTTTCCTTATAAAGCTAAATTAAGCCTTAAGTTACCGCGTCAGTGGACAAACTCAAACATAAGGTGACTGGCAACGAACTCGTCCCTATGCCCAGCCCCACCCTCCTCTCCTGTGGGAGTGAGGGGCGGCTACGCAGCAGGCCAGGAGACATGTGAGCAACAACCCTGTCACAGGAGGCAGAGAGGTGACAGATGGAGCCCTGCAGCAAAGTAAGCTTCCTGCCTGATTTCTGCCGACTGGGCTATTGAAATCAGGGCTACCATCCTGGAAGTTCCAGCCAACTATGTCACCTAGAACTGTCCCCATCTACCTCTAAGTTCGACACAGCGTCAATGGCTGAAGACGTGGGCAGCAGAGATGGGCCAGGAGCCCCCACCTGGCTGGCTGTGCAGACTCACCAGTAAGTCTGTCGACCGCGAGGTGTGATGGCCACACATTTACGTGACTTGCTCTGCCCACGCCCCCAAGGCACCTCCCACACTGTCCTGCGGCAGAGTTCTGACTGCACTGAAACATTGGCAGTGTATATTCTGTGGTTGGAGGAAGCCGGGTGAATCTGGGACTGTGTCCAGGGATTCAAACGGGAGCCACACACACAGGACAAACAGTTAAATGAGTTCAACACACGTATTTGCAGGCAGAAATCAAGTTATTGATGGAGCGAAAACCCAAGAACATCACCACCACCGAACAAGCTCATCAGTGAGGAGGCCACGTGGACGGGAGCGCAGGCCCGGCTGAGAGGAGGCCGTGCCGCCTCGGACTCACCTCGTCATCCTCTTCGGCGATCCTGATGGGATTGTCCGGGCTCTTGACAGGTTTCTGGTTGCTGGGCCCATTGGTCTCTTCCTTCCCATGCTCTGCCTCCCATTCTTGTAAAACTTCATCTATGTTGAAGCGACGTCGATAATTTACAAAAAAGTTTTTCACTTGTACCACTGATTTGTTCCCAATCACATCTGAGATGGCCTGAAAATCACGGCCATACTTCCTGATGGCTATGGACACAAGAGAACGTTTTTCAATACAAGAGAAAACCAACGAAAAGCACACACAACAGACTGACTCGTATCCAGGTGAGGAAACATACAAGCTTGGAAGAGCAGGCACCGCCTCAGTGCGTTAGACCAGGGGGGGAAAGGCCGTGTGGGGACATCCTGTGGACGACTGACCCAAGTCCAGGGCGACCCTGTCATCTGGAAATCTGTGCCTTATCATCAGATGTCACATGAACACTGAAGTCATCCAGCAATCATTCTGTGGTTATGGGTATTCTGCGTTTGTCGTTTCAGGGTCCCCAGGACTAGAACAGCCCCCAAATCCAACACTCTGTTTGCTTGTTGGGGTTTTGTACTTCGTAACTATTCAACACCCAACCCAACGTATGGCTGTTAAAACAAATTACTCGCGCCTTTAAAACTGACATGATAATTTTTACAACTCGTGAGGCCCAGGAAGGGAAAAAGTCAAGCCCAGGGGAAATAATGCCAGAAAGCAGCTAAAATGCTGTCCAACCCCCCAAGCCCCCAAGAATCCGTCTCAGCCGGGAGGTACATGCTACATGCAGGTAGGACACACCTGTCTCTAAAGGCTCTTAAGAGGAGGACCGTGCCGTACCTTGTACTGCAAGAAGCTGCTCCTCTGTGGTCCAGCGCGCGTTACTTTTCTGAATGACCTGTACATCCAAATGAGTCGTGTTAACATCTCATACGTCCTTATTAGAGCCAACAAATCTTTTTCTCATATCAGAATTTTGATGCCAACTAGGTTTATAAAATTCTGTTGTACTGTCCTTTCTAATAGGTGCATACTTGATATTACGTGGATATTACACTCTTAAACACACAAAACTGGGCTGACTTCGGAGATGATGTTAACATAATCATACCTCTGGAAGTCGATACGGTTCTATTCCGCCATCGAGTTTTTCTTTGAGAGCACTGTTTGTCTGTTTAATATTCTGAATCTAAAAGAGAAAAGACTTTTATTTTACAAAGGAAACAATAGCCCTGCCTGGTGTGGCTCAATGGACTGAGTGCCAGCCTGCAAACCAAAGGGTTGCTGGTTCAATTCCTGATCAGGGCACATGCCTGGGTTGTGGGCCAGGTCCCCAGGAGTGAGTGTGCAAAAGGCAACCACACACTGATGTTTCTCTCCCTGTCTTTCTCCCTCCCTTCCTGTCTAAAAATGAAATAAATAAAATCTTTAAAAAAATAAAGGAGTCAAAAAAGCAAAACAACAACAAAACCACTGTGAGGCACAGCAGGCCAGGCAGCGGCCAGCAAGGGGCACCCTCCTGTGAGCGCCAGAGCGGGCGCCCGCCCTGCACTCTGAGTGCTCTGTGCTATGCACCCACAGGGGGAAGTGGTGATAAAGCGACCTGGCTTCCGGGGAGAATCTGAGGCAGGAATCAGAGAAATCAGACGCTCTTGCTGGCTCCCTAAGTTCCCATGCGTTACAGCAGGAAAAGCAGAATGAGTTACTGACATTGAGGAGTCTGTGCTGACCAATAGCTTTGAAAAGAGAGGATGGTCCAGGTGACAGAAAGCGAGGGCTGGAACTTTCACTGGATGGGCGTGCAGACCGTCCCAAACAGCTTCGGTGTTGAAAATGGCTATTGGCTCTCATGTGATCAAATGGTCAACTTTTCCAAACCAGTATGAACTGACCTAGAAGGATCTGACGGTGGAGAATATTGACAGGTACTGGGAAGGGCTGGAGAATAAACGGAGGCCTCTGGCAGGAAGGGTGCGGCTGGAAAACACCTCTATCTGTGACGTGTTCTGGTCGCCTCCAGGCTGCTGCTGACTGCAGCCTGTTCACAAGGAGTTCAGGAAGAGTCCCTCCAGCCCCAGATCACGAAACCTTGTGGCAACGCTCAGAGTAAAGGTGTCTTTCAGATCCACAAGGTCTCGAAAATCAAAGAGTGGTCCTGGGACAGCCAAACATCTCCATGTGCAACCCAGTCCACTAAGGAAGCCTACACAATCTCTCTCCATTGTCAATACCTATTAACAATTGACAGAAGGACGTTCGACCTGTGCTTCTAAGTCCTGGTGTCTCCGTCCCACCTGCTACGCCATGTGTAAGCTTGGATTTTGCCGCCTCTGCACAACCTGGGACAGCAAAGCACGTCCCTGGCTCCAGCGAGCCGGACAGCAGGTTTGCTCACTCACCCACACTGCCCTTCAGAAGCACTGGGGACTGCGACCACATCCGTAGGGGAAAGGGGCCTGTGAACAATCTGCGGTGGTACCTGCAGAGCACCCAAGGCAAGGAGGTGACAGCAAGCTGCTGGATGGAGTTCCAATGGGCCACCATGGGGCCACCAAGGCCGTGGCGCCGAAGATGAACAGGGACAGCGTGGCTGGAGTGCTGGGGCTCTGCCATCACCACAGATGACAGGCTGAAGCCCCGGCTGACTGCAATTAATGTGTCCCCACCTCTCACCTCCACACCACCAACAATCACACCCTTAAGTATAACATGATTAACGACACCCTCCACAGCACGTCCCCAATGGCAAAATTCCAGGCTCTAAAATAGAACATGTCACCCTCACAGAAAATTCTTGGACATGGCGAAATCCCGTACGACAAGCAGCTGGTGCAGGGTGACAGGGGCTGACCAAAGAGCTGGAAAGTCCTTCTGGCCAGCTTATGGGGCCCAAAGAAGGCTGGTTCAGAGACTCGGGGAGAACCGTCCTTACCACCTGGAAGTGACCCCCCCACTGAAAGCAAGAGTCTGACCTGGGCCCACCACCCACCTGACTCAGGTCTCACTGAAGACCTATTTTGAAATCTCCTTTTTCTACAGCTTTTTTCCCTTCCTAAACCCTGGAAATAAATACAGGCACTTCTCTGGAAGTTTGAAGCAATGAAAAACTTTTATGAAGGTATGAAAAGAAAACAACTACATAAACTACAGGAAATAAAAACACCAAAAGCAAAGATGTTCCAACCTATATGGTACCCAGAATTGGAGGTCTCTACTGACTCCTTTAAGAGCATCTAACTGGATTCTTCAGTTGACCTGCTTAGAACAGTGAGCAAGAGACAACCTAGAAGGACGGGAAGGGGGCAAAGAGGCTCTGTGTGCACAGCCCTCCCCATATCATGACAGTGATCTCCCACACAGAACACAGGCCCCGAACACAGAGCCGAGCTCAGCCGCCAGGAGGCAGAGGAGGCGGAGCAGGCGGGAAAGGCCCAGCTACCCAGCAGGACCGCAAGGTGCAGCGCCCAAGCCAAGAGCTGCTGTCGGGCACTACCCTGACCCCACAGCGTAGACACCCACGTGCTTTCATGGGAGAAAAAGCAAGCAGTGCGTCTGTTCTCCACAAGCCTAATTCTGATCAGCTGCAATTTCTTCATTTTCTCACAAATTCTCTTTCCCACAAACCCGCTGTTACTCACTGTATCTAATTGTTCACTACCCTTCCCTAACCCATAGACAGACACAAACATGACAAACCACAGCTGCTCCTGAATTCTGTGCAGACTCCTGGACAAGCGGGGCTGCGGGGGCTCCTCTCTTAGGAGCAGAGCACCTCTGTGCCAAGCACCAGGGGAACTTGACCCCTAGCACTTTTCGTTTTTGAATGAACATGTACACTGCCTCCCTAAAATTAAAAAAGCATAAAATTAAACAAATGGTTGTAAGGCAAAACATCCACAGATTCTGAACTAAAAGTCAGCTCTAACCTCACCAACCTCCACCTCTGTTTCCGATGCATTTTCCCCAGTAGAAATACCCAGAGTTCACTAACGTAAGAATAGGGGTAGTTGCCAGCTTAATGCCAATGGGAAAGAAAGCCAGAGCGGCAACCAGCCAGAAAAGAAACGGGACACAAAAGTAATCAGCATTCCAGGGTTCAAAGACGAGGCGGTCGGCGTGGCCTGGTGCCTTCCCTAGACCCCCTGGGTGAACACAACTGTCTTTTCCCACTTTGCTGTGTGTTCAGTGAGACTTCCCTAACGTCAGACCGCTTTATTCCGCACTTAGAAAGTGCCACAGGCTCCCCTGGCTGGGTCACCCGACATTCCCGCCCCCCTCACCAGTCCACACAGCTGTACTGCGAAGCTCTGGCGAGAGGCAAGTCTGAGTTGCTAGCGAAGCAGAAAGGGCTGATGGGCAGTCCGGCCTGCACCTCCTGGTCTCCCACCCCTGAATGCAGAATGAGGGCTACGGAATGGCCTCTCCAGCTTCCAGAGTGACAGGCAGAACGAGGTGAGGGGCCAATAAAGTGAGGGTGCAGAGTAGAGAAAAAGAATCAGGGACCCTGGGAGCACCGCTGAACAGATGAACTAATGCCGTCACCGCCAACGGTGGGACTTCTAGCTATGTGGTAAAAATAAATCCTTACCTGTTTAAGGTGTTATTACTCAGGTTTCCTGTCACATTCAGGTGAATAGCCCCTGACCCCCAACCAAATGTGGGGCCTCCAGAACAAAACATCACTGTGTCACTGTTACTGAGCCCAGACTGCATCTGGCAGGAGCCCTAAAAAGCCGTGGGAAGTAAACAACCTGTCTCCTCTGCCCACGTGTCAGACTCCAAGTCTTCTCTCTTCAACGATGCAAACTTTAAGTAGCTACCTTCAAATGAAAAACGCCTGCTCTTGACCCTGGCTCTGAAAACCAACCAATCTCTTCTCATCTGTCATATGACACAATCAGTAAAAGCTCTGAGGGAGAAGGGTGTCTTTTTCTCTCTTGAGCCTCAAGCGGCAAGCCTCAGGAACTTTGCGGCAGAGTGCACTGAGTCCCCTCGCAGAGGAAGATGGGATCGCACGGAGAGCTCACGGCCCGAACCGACTCTCCCGGTGCAGACACAGCTCCAGATGTGAGCTCCCGGAGCAGCCAGCACCGTCCAGGGAGGTCAGCCGGGCCAGGATTAATCCCCTCATTTGAAAGGAGGCCCGGGAAGATTAAGCGATTCTCCTAAGATTAGAAGGCAGCTGTGCCAGCAAGCCAGGACCAGGAGCCAATGCTCCGGCTCCGTGAGGCACGCCTGGTCCTGGTCTGTGCTGTCTCCCTGCACCCGAGACAGACCAGGCCGGCCCCTGACCCACTCTTTTCATCTCTGAAATGACAGCTGGCCTCATATTTAACCTTCCAAGGGAAGCATCAAGATTAACAAGTCAAAGCAGCAAAAGCTAGAAGGAAACCATCGGTCCACAATTTGCCTTGAATTCCAGAGGGAGGGAGAAAGAGAGAGGAGACACATAAAAGGACAATACTAGGTACTCAGCAGAATTTCCATTTTCAATTGTACTACGCAGAATCAAAGAATGGAACAAGCCATTTTTCATACCAGCCATAAATAAGCAGAAACGAATTAATCTAAAGAACATCCTTTACAAGAACATCAAAAAAGTACCAAATATCCAGGGCTAACTCTAACAAAGAATATACAAGACCTATTGCTTAGAAAAAAAACAACAGAGAAATTAAATAGCTCTATAAGTGGGGAGATATATCGTTTCATGGATCAGAAGATGTTAATTCTTTATTTTATTTATTTATTTATTTATTTATCACCAAAGGATATTCTTATTGATTTTATTTTTATTTTTTTAATTGATTATGCTGTTACAGTTGCTCTATTCCCCCCTTCATTCCCCTCCACCCTGGCCCCCCATCCCCACCATTACCCCCCTTTAGTTTATGTCCATGTGTCTCAAGTCCCTTAGGTTCTATATTTCCCATGCTATTCTTGCCCCCCCCATCTATTTTCTATCTACTGTCTATGCTACTTATTTTCTGTACCTTCTCCCCCCATCTCCTCCTCCCACTCCCCTGTTGCTAACCCTCCTTGAGATCTTCATTTCTATATTTCCACTCCTGATCTAGCTGTTCTTTTAGTTTGCTTTCGTTTTAGGTGTGGTTGTTAATAACTGTGAGCTTGTTGTTCTTTCACTGTTCATGTTTCTTTAACTTCTTTTCCTTAGATAAGTCCCTTTAACATTTCATATAATAAGGGCTTGGTGATGATGAACTCCTTGAATTTGGTCTTATCTGAGAAGCACCTTATCTGTCCTTCCATTCTAAATGAAAGTTTTGCTGGATAGAGCAATCTTGGTTGTAGGTCTTTAGATTTCATGACTTGGAATATTTCTTTCCAGCCCCTCCTTGCCTGTAAGGTCTCTTTTGAGAAATCTGCTGACAGTCTGATGGGGACTCCTTTGTAGGTGACTGTCCCCTTAGCTCTTGCTGCTTCTAGGATTCTCTCCTTCATTTTAATTTTGGCTAATGTAATTATGATATGCCTTGGTGTGTTTCTTCTTGAGTCCAACTTTTTTGGTACTCTCTGGGCTTCTTGGATTTCTTGGAAGTCTATTTCCTTTGCCAGATTGGGGAAATTCTCCTTTATTAGTTGTTCAAATAATTTTTCCACTGGTGATTGTGTCTTTCCCCCTTCTGGTACCCCTATAACTCGGATATTGGAGCATTTAAAGATGTCCTGGAGGTTCCTAAGACTCTCCTCATTTCTTTGAATTCTTGCTCCGTGACTCTTTTCTGTTTGGCCATTATTTGCTTTCTTCTGGGCCACTCCATTGATTTGAGTCCCAGTTTCCTTTTCATCTCTATGGGTTTCCTGTGGAATTCCATTCATTTCCCTTAATTTAGCCTTCATATGTTTCTCTAATTTGTGGCTATAATCAACCAGATCTGTGAGGAAGCTGATGACCAGTGTTTTAAACTGTGCGTCTGAGAGTTTTGCTATTTCTTCGTTGCTTAGATTTATCTCTGGGGCTTTGAGGTCTTCCTGCGACATTTTTGGTCTGTTCTGGCCCTTTAAATGTGAGAAGCGGCGCCTTGGACTCCCAGGTCGCTGGGTTGTGACGCTGTATGTGGGGGCGTGGTCAGAGCGGGGAAATGGCGGCGCCCTCTACCGCCGCGGCGCCCTCTATCGCCGCCGCGGCCAGTCCAACCGCCCACTCCCTCAGTCGCGCGCAATCAGGCAACCGCAGTCAACTCGCTGCCACCGCCTCCCCACTGACTCCTCCGCAGTCGCTCACCCGGTGGGTCGCTCGATCGCTCACCAGGTCCAATCCTGCGTCTGGAACCCGCGCATCCGGATTCGCGCATCTGGATTCCGCGCCCGGGTCCGACCTAGCCCTCCTTTGCAACTCCTCACCAGACGCCGGTTTCGCCCCTTACCGGTCGGGCTGAAGAATTTGTTGTTAGCGGACTTCCAAAAAGTTCAGTTTTCCGTGTTCTGGTTGTGTTTTCTGATGCTAATATTTAGTTGTCCCTAAACTTGGTTGTTTGAGAAGGCACGGCACATCCACCTATACCTCCATCTTGGCGGAAGTCCCTAATTCTTTATTTTGAACTATAAATTCAATACAACCTCAATCAAAATTCTAGCAGAATTGTTTTTCTGGAAATTGAGAAAGTGATTCTGAATTTTAAATGGAACGACAAAGGGCCATGAACAGCCGGACAATCATGAAGGACTTAGTGTACGAGACAGGTGTGTGATGTTCACCTACACTACACAGTGCACACTGATGAAGAATTTGTCCATACCCGGACGGACAGACTTAGGGAAGTGATAGGAAACGCCAAACCTGACCATATGCATGGACAGTGGATTGAAAACAAAGGCCCCCCTTAACTAGAAATCTATATGAAAAACCAATCAACGATGACCCCACATGTGACAACAGACACAGAAACACACTGCCAGGTGGACTGAAGATCAAAATGTAAAAGGCAAAACAACATTAGGACCACCTGGCAGAATATCTTCATGACCTAAAGGAACGTTCTTAACGGAATTCAAGGAGCACTAACCACAGCCCAGGCTGGTGTGGCTCAGTGGGTTGAGCGCAGGCCTACAAACCAAGGGGTCAATGCTTTGATTCCCAGTCAGGGCACATGCCTGGGTTCTGGGCCAGGATCCCAGTTAGGGGGTGCACACACTGATGTTTCTCTCCCCCTCTTTCTCCCTCCCTTCCTCCTCTCTAAAAATGAATAAATTAAATAGTTTAAAATTTTTTTGAAGAAACAAGAGCCCTAACTACAAAAGACAAGAATGAGAAACTGGACTACCTTAAAATTAAGATTTTCTGCTCACCAAAAGATACCATTAACAGAGTGAAAAGATAAGCCTCAGAATGGGAAATGGGATGCTCTGTGTCCCCCTTCTCCAGGGATCGTTTCTCAATGCCTGGGGACACTTCTGTTATCACGGCTGGAGGGGACAGGGTGCTAACAGCACCTGGGAGGTAAAGGTCAGAAACGCTGGTAAAGATCTCACAACACATGGGACCACTCCCCACAAAGAGTTATGACAACCCGACACAGTGCGACTGAACCTGGCTGGCCCCACGACACTTTGGACAACTGTGTGGCACTGTTCTCTGATGCAGGACATAGGCACACTCCTAATCCAGCAATTCCACTCTTGGGTACAGACCCAACAAGGATGCGTGCATGGTGCCCCACGAGACATACGAACATGCTCACGTCAGTGTTATTTTAACGGCCAAAAATGCGTATTTGGTAGGACACACACACAGCAGTGAGCAAGAACAAGAACTGTGGCTCTGTACTAACTACCCGGATGGATCTTACGTGCTGAGGGGAATCTAGACATGAGAGAGAACGCTTCATGCCACTGTTACGTGACATCCCAAAACAGGCAACAGCAATTTGTGGTGGTATGAGCCGGAACAGTGGCCACCAAAGGGGAGAAGGCAGGAACTAGCCGGAGGGCGGGCGTGGTGCGGCTGCAGGGGCGCTGTGCCCCACAGGCGACTCACTGGAGGGGATGGGGTGGGGCTCGGCTCGGTGGGGCCTGGGAGCCGGCGCCCCATTCCCTGATGCACAAAGAGAGGCTGGTGGGGCGTGTTCACCACGTGAAAAGCAGTGAGCGCGCACACGCACCGTTTATATATAGGCACTCGTAACATCAACTTCAAAGTGAACTGAAGGAAAATCCAGGGCCAGTACCAAGACCTTCTGTCTGTTTCCTTAGAAACAAAACGCCCTTTTGAGATGAGTGGACAGATGACAGGAAGAGCTGTGGGTACCTGTCGCTTGATTGACACCAACTCCATGTCCAGCTGTCTCAGCACCGTAGTCGCGGCAGTGGCGTTGGCAGACACGGCCTCCACGTCTTCTTGAGAAAGAAACATTCCTTTTGGAGGTTTCCGTTTTGCTCTGTTTTTAGCTTGAGTACTATGCTTTTCTTTCTTGATCTGAGGAACCGTCTCAGTAGGGGGCACCTGCATGGTAGATGTATTTTGATAAATAAAATGCTAAAAGAATTAAAATGGCAAGTGAACAGGAATAAGCATTATCTCCTTAACATGGCCCCACACAATGGAAGACACATTCCAGGCTATATCATAAGTACCATCTACAAACTCTAACAGACAAAACCGCTGGCTATTGCGTTTGGGCCACACGCTCGGCAGTGAGCGCACGCCCTTCTGGCACAGCCACAGCCTGACCATCACGCCCCGCCTGAGACAGAGCCCACTCTCGGCTCCAAGCAGGAGCACAGGCAGGAAAAAACTGCTCTCCTCCGCGGAGCTGCATATGCATGAATAAGGAGCTACTTATCCTAAGTCTCTAGTGACACGGACAGACGGATGAACAAAGAGGGAAACAAAAAAAAGAAGCAATTCAGCACATGTATAAAGATTCATTTAAATTCTTCACACCTTTATAGGAGTTTCAAAAAACCTAAAGTCAGTATGACACTATACATGCTGTCACTTTAAATGCATGACTACTGCTAATTTTTAAAGGTGCTTTTTTCTAGATCTAAAACCTCTAGAACTGAATGCAGTGAAATCTTGGCAAGGAAAGGATAACATTTTACTGGTAACCATTTTAAGAACAAGTTCAGGGAACTGTCCCTGATCTCATCTTGTTAAGAGCATTAGTAAGAGTAACAGCGAATGCTGATAAAGCTCGAATGCTGATAAAGCTGGGCTCTCTGCTTCCTGCTGGGAAAGACTGAGGCAAAAAGCCGAGAAACTCTGATGGCGGCAGCAAGCACTGCCCCAGCGCTGGTGACGGGACCGGCCCGGGCAGCGGGGGGGGGGGGGGGGGGGGGGGGGGGGGGGGGGTGGGTGGGGGGGGGTGTAGGGGTGGGGGGTGGGGTGGTGGTGGTGGGACACAAAAGCCAGGAGTGAAGCCCGTAACAGCAGCACTCAGTGTGCAGTCAGAACCACCTGCCGGCGATGGGCCAGGTTTAGCAACAGCTCAGAGTGTAAACAAAGGATAGGTTAACCATTTTTCATCTCCAATCAGAAACTGATGGGGGAAAGTGGTGGCGGGAAAATAGAAACAACTGCACTTGAACAACAATAAAAAAAAGAAGGCAACCCTGGCTGGTGTAGCTCAGTGGATTGAGCACGGGCCTACGAACCACATGACCGCAGTTCGATTCCCGCAGTTCAACTCAGGACACATGCCTGGGTTGCAGGCCAGTTCCCAGTAGGAGACTCATGAGAGGCAACCATACATTGATGTTTCTCTCCCTCTCTCCTTCCCTTCCCCTCTAAAGATAAATAAAATCTTTTTTAAAAAGGGGGCAACTGAAAGAGTAGAGAAAAAAACAAAAAAGAAATTAAGCTCTACAAATAAGAATTACAGAAACTAATATAATATAAACACTTTTCTCTCATTTAAAATATCCCACTGAAGCTAATAAGCAAAAAACCCCACAAAAACCAAAAAAAAAAAAAAAACTATTTAAAAACCCCATAAAAAAAGAACCCAAAAGACAATGCATCAAAACAAAGCTTACTAAAAATTGCAAGAATAATTTAGTTTCCAAAACGATGTTAATTCATCTAACCCTTAAAACAATCTTGGTGTTTGGACTGTCTTACAAATCACTGGCGAAAGTGCCACGAGGAAAGAGTGACTAGGTTCTCGTTGGTGATACATTCTGTACCAAAAACGCCTTCAAAATGTAACTAGAAAGCTCTGACCCAATATTCAACTTCCAGAAACTAATTCTAGTGGAAAAAAGTAAGTGCACACACACTTAGTTACGAGTTATGCATTTCAGCATTATTTGTAACAGCAAAAAGCAGGGGCAGAAGACTGTAAAAACCCACAGAAGATTAATTCACTCAATTATAAAAGATTTGTGTGATAGAATAACATACAGCTGTGTATGCAAATGTATTGATATCAAATACATTGAAGGTAGAGTAAATTTGAAAGGTTATAAAGTTTTATATGTATATTAAGATCTCATTTTATACTGTTCTAAAAATAAGTATTTGTTAGAATTATGGACACAGACATGTATTTTTCACAGAGGATGTGGCCTGGAAAGTCACCATGATGTTCACAGTGACTGTGTGTGTAAATGGTTTCATCTTCTCCTTTTTGGTTAGCTGTGCTTGTACTTTGTCTATAAAAAGCATGTAACGTTGATGCCATTTAAAGTTCAGGTGCGCCTACACCACTTGGTGTTCCCATGCTTAAAGCAGCTGCTCTCACACTCTGGAACCTTTTGAGACAGAGAGCCCCCTGAGATTTTACTGAAACCGTGGACTCTGCCCTCAGAAGACCTGCAACGACCACACAGAGAAGTCGTCCCCACAGTGGGAGTCGGACTCCAGCCTGGCTGAGGGGCCCTGCGGGTGCCCAGGGCTCTGGAGCCCAGCCCTCAGCTCTCGCGGGCGCAGCCCAGGCCTGCAGCAAGCAGTGCTCAGCTGTGGGATTTCCGACCTGAGCCCTGGGACCCTGGGTCTCCTTGGAGGGCACCCGCCAAGGAGGGCATACGCTTTACCCAATTTTATGAATGGACACTAATGCAGGACTGCAACTCCCATTGGAGGGCATACGCTTTACCCAATTTTATGAATGGACACTAATGCAGGACTGCAACTCCCATTGGAGGGCATACGCTTTACCCAATTTTATGAATGGACACTAATGCAGGACTCCCATTTCAAAAGGTTAAGATCATCCCAACACCTCACTGTTCCCTGTGGACAGTTTACAAAAGTCACCACAACTTAAGGATTCACAGGTCCCCTGGATCTAGACACGGAAAACCTCTAACACCCTTGGACGGCCCGCGTGGTGGTTCTGAGTGAGGAGAGGACCTGCGCTGCGTCCCTGCCAGCCGTCTGGTGTCGCCTGCTGGGCCAGTGTGTGCGGAGCCCTAGGCCAGCGACAGCTGGGAAGGAGCCGCAAGGCTGAGAGGAGAAGCCGTGCTCTGGCCTAGGCCTCACAACCGTAGCTTTTTCTAACCGCCGGAGCTGGCCGCGCAGGACAGATGACAGTGAGGACTCCGCCCCAGACAAACCATCTCTTTTCACTGCGGCTTTTTCCTTTTAAGACTTCCTAGGACCTCAGCAGCATAAAAAAAGATCCAGTCAGAAACAAAGGAGACACTAATTGAAATAAACAACAATTTTTAGGGCAATGAAAGTAGACAGGATAAAGCTGAGAATCCAACCAATGATTTGGAACATAAAGAAGAAGAAAGCAACCAGTCAGGACAAGAAGAAGAAAAAATAATCCAAAAAAATTGAGAACAGTGTCATGGCTGGTGTGGCTCAGTGGACTGAGTGCCAGCCTGCAAACCTGCAAACCTGCAAACGAAAGGGACACCGTTTGATTCCCAGTCAGGGCACGTGCCTAGGTTACATGCCGGCCAGGTTCCCAATAGGGGGCGTGCGAAAGGCAACCACATATTGATATTCCTCTCCCTTTTTCCCTCCCTTCCCCTCTCTCTAAAAATAAATAAATACAATCTTAAAAACAAAACAAATACATGAGAAGTTGTATAAACAGCCTCTGGGACAACTTCAAGACGTCCAACATTTGCCTCACAGCAGTGCCAGAAGGAGAGGAGAAAGCAAGAAATTGGAAATTAGTGAAAGAAAAAACTTCCCTAATTTTTGGTAAAGGAAATAGACATGCAAGTCCAAGAAGCACAGAGTCCCAAACAAGATAGACCCAAGAGGACCACATGAAGACACATCATAATTAAAATGCCAAAGGTTAATAATAAAGAGAGAATCTTAAAAGCAACGAGAGAAAAGTTAGTTACCTCCAGGGGAGTTCCTTCCCCTAAGACTGTCAGCTGATTCCCCCCCCAAAAAAAACTTCGCAGGCTAGAAGGGATTGGCAAGAAATATTCAAAGTCATGAAAAGCAGGGACCTAGAGCCAAGACTGCCCTGCCCAGCAAAGCTATCATTTAGAATCAAAGTGCAGATAAAGAGCTTCCCAGACAAGGTAAAACTAAAGGAGTTCACCATCACCAAGCCATTGTTATATGAAATGTCCAAGCGACTTAAGAAAAAGAAGAGCAAAACTAGGAACGATAAAATGGCAAAAAGACGTATCTATCAACACCTGAATCTAAAAAACAAGCTAAGCAAACAAGGAGAACAGTGACAGAATCGTGGATACAGAAGGACGGTTCTGGTGGATGCCGGATGAAAGGAAGCCATGGGTGAGTGGGGGAGACATGGGAGGTTAAGGAGCACAAACAGGCAGTTACAGAGAACAGCTGTGGGGATGTACAGTGCAGCATGGGAAATGGAGAAGTCAAAGAACTCACACATATGACCCGTGGACATAAACGGTGGGAGGACTGCCTGAGGGGTGGGGGTGCTGGGGAAGGGGAGCAAAGGGGGAAAATGAGGACAACTCTAATCGCATAATCAATAAAATATAATTTAAAAAAAAGACTTCCTTTACTCAGGTTTCTTGGCAAACACAATTCTAAGTTCTATAAAGCCAAGTTATTATTGTTTAAACGTTATACTCCGGTACCTTATATGATTAGCACTTAATACATTAAGTAGAGTAAGTCAGAAGAACGGATGCTTTGCTGATGAACTACTAACGCATTTATCTGCCTAAAGAGAGACAAACACCTCTTTTCTGCTCTCCTTATTCTGATCGATCTCAAGGTCCATCGGGTTATTTCCGTTTGCTTCTTCCAGTTCGTCCTCACTGGAAAATAAGAAAAAGTTACCAAAGATTACTTTGTATTAATTTTATTTAACATATAAATGTAAGCAGTAAATTGATTTAATGACAGGTTTAATACAAAACTATTATGTTTTCAGACTGCTGAGATAAAAACATTTTTACAATTCAAATAAAACGCCGATTCCATAGTTCTTCTGGTGTAAATGACGAAGATCAATGATTAAAACAGGTTCCTACCTCCCAGACTCGGTCTACAGACACACCTGAGGCACCGTCCGAGAGTCAAGTCCCCCGAACCAGGAACAAGTTCCCTGTGAGTCAGATGCCCCGTCTGCCCCCTCGGGACCACCCAAGTCTGGGCAGGGCGAAGGCTCTGGGGGGCAGGGACAACTGGTATTTTAAATCGAGTTTTTCTCAAAAAGGACGCTCACCCTGACACGGAGCTTTTGCTTACATCCTCTCCCGGCAGTTTTCGTAACTAAAGAAAAAGAGACACTAGACCCGTGGCAGGTGACAGCATCACTAGAAGCGAGCGCCCAGCCCTGCGGGCCGCAGCAGAGGCCAGCTGAGTGGCGGTGGCAGCCACCTAACTCACACGCAGTCAACGAGACCTGACGTGCAGCAGAAAGACAAAGTTTAATCCAAAGTGGCTGTGACACAGAAAACAAACTCATTTAGTGGGTTCGCCACATCTCTTTGGTCACTAGGAGCGCCGACCCATAAACAGACCCACTGGCATGTGTGCTGAAGACCAGACACCGGGCGGCCGTGCCCCGCTCGGTCTCACACCTGCACAGACTCGGGGGTGTCGTAAGCACCGCTCGCATTTCCTACTGGGGCCAAGAGGTCCGAGTTCTCCAAATGGGGTCCTCAACTCTCAGTCCGTTCCACGTTATTCTATATGAAATCATAAAATAATCTTCTGAGATGGGGCCAAATTGTTACCAATTTATAAAAATACTGTATTTTATGATTTCATAAAAATATTTTTTGTGAAAAAATACAATAGAAAGTGGAAAACGTGATTTTTAACAGTCACCAACCTAACAGAAAAGCCACACGTGGGGCGCTGGCCCCTTAACCACAGGCGTCCTCCACTTCGGAGAGGAGTGCGGGTGGGCAGGAGCGCCCCACCTGCCCAGTCGAGCTCCAGCCTCCTGGACAGAAGCCCAGAGCCGTCCCCATGACGTGGTGCTCAGTACAGAAGCCGAGGACACGATGACAAAGACGCGTCCTTTCACTACGCCAGCCTGAAGACTAGCACGTGCCGTGACCCCAGGACATGTTTCTCGCTCACTCACGCACAGTCGGAGGGTCAGAAAGGGAGGAAGACACCCAAACTGCAGTGGCATCTCAAACGCCAAACATGTAAACATGTGGAGTGAATCTGGACAAGCGCACCAAGTAAACGTCAACCTAGGAAACAAGGTCCCCTCTGTGTAAAGAAGACACCCTTAAAGGGCATGGAAGGACCTGCGGAAAGTCCATGCGTTCAGGACAGAACCGTGTGTGGGACCGAGTCCCCTGCAACCACACAGCTCACTGACAGCGAGTAAAGGACATTGGTGTGAGTCTGGCTGGAAGGTCCTTCTGTCACTGCTTTGCCTTGTGTGTCCACCAGCTCACAGAGGTCTAGTGCCTGCGGTGTCCCCGAGCAGAAGCACCCCCCACCCCACCCCCGGCACCACTGACCTTTCCTCCCGCTCACGCTTCTGTTTACGAGCATGGCGGTCCATCACGCTGGTCTTGGTTCTTGTCTTCTTCCAAGAGTAGTAAAATTTCACCAGACTTGCTATAGATTTATCAGGAAGCTAAACAAAAAAATGAGTTGCTTTAAATTTGAAGCTAGCCTTTCTGAACAGATGTGTTCCGATACACTCAATTAGGATCTCTCTCACATATTCAGACATGTCCTAAGTTGCCCTTCTCCAGTAAGAAAAAAGATTTATGAAAGAACGCTCATCAATTTACATCTACAAACTACTAAGTTTGACTGTAGGTGACACTCAGCCCATGAAAGAGTGTAAACCCAGGTTAAGATGAGTCAGGGTTTGCACAGAGCTCAAGTTTCAACAAAACTTTTAGATTATCTTGAAAAATTCCATTTTAGCACTAATGCAACTGTCCATAAGTGGCTGCAGTAGGGGCCCATCAAGCAGCACTCCGGATGTGAGACATGAACAAACCCCTAGGCAGACAGGGCCCCGCCTCATCACATACCCACCCAAGACCCTCTCCCTAGGCTAATCTTCTGGAGGGTCCCTTCAAGAGAGACAGGGTGGGGGTGGGGCCCCCACCGCTAGGAAGTGCTTTACTGCTGTAACTTGTAGCCTCTCAGCCCCAGCAGCAAGCTGTGAGCCAATTTTGCCCTGGGGAGTAGTCCTAAAAACGGGGATGCTCCTGCTTGTGGGGTCAGCCTGTCCCTTGGGGGACAGGGCAGAGGAAAGGGTTGGGGGGCGGGAATCGATAGCCTCATCTACTTACCATTTGTTGGATTCTATGAAAAGTCTTCCCATGAAAACTAAAGGCTTGCTCAAACAAGACTTTATCCTCCACAGTCCACTCATCTGGGAAGGGGGTAAAGTTGGGCAAATCAGCCAATGATTTTTCAATATTATGTTTATGCCAAAAAAGCATCCCGAGAGCCTAGAAAAATAGTATCAGTGAAATTTTAGACTGAAGACATGAACAAAACACTAAAATACAAATGAGGTCGGCAAAAGAACAGCGTGAGTGTCCGTCTTCACACTCGCACGTGCTGCTAAGCGGCAGTCCCAGAGAGCTCGCCTCTGGGCACGAACGCGCCTACCCCACAGCCCTAGGACAGCAGGGCCACCGTTCTCACTTCTCAAGTGCGAACGCAGGGGCCCTGGGACAGTGACTGACTGGCCACCGGGACAGCGCCAGGAATCGGCTCTAGAACCTGCTTTCCGGCAGAGCCGCACCCTAATGCCTCTGCACACAAGAGGAAGGGCCAAGTGATAAAACCACGCAATGACTTTGTTATTGCTTTGCTCAAAGAACACATTAAAATATTTAAAAAATTTTTTCAGCTCAAAAAGAAAAAAATATACAAATGGACAAGGAACAAATTAGAAATGAGAGAGGTGACTCAGGATACTTTCCTGAAAAAATTCTTACATTACAATTCGAAAGTGAAAATGATCATACTTTTGAAAATCAAAATTCTTAAAAATTCCTACAAGTATATTTAGCAATCAATCACCCAATAATATTTACACTCTGTAAATTGATCATTTTTCTGGGCAACTTGATGAAGTTCATAAGCGGGGTTGAAAAAGGAGAAGCATATATTTTTGGCTTTGAAAGATTCTAGAACTACTGAATATCTTTTTTTTTTAATATCTTATTGTAACTGGCTTTTTAAACAGTTCTACCACATTAGAATAGCTACAAATAAAACCAAGGCTGAAAGAAAGAGTCTACGTCTATATAATTTCGATTACTTGTGCCCTCAGTATTTGAAACTACCAGAATAAATGAGAAAATGTTAGTAACTTGTAGGCTGTAAAATCTAGATCAATGCCCAGGAAGACAGGAATCCACCTTGCGCTGCTCGCTTTTCAGCAGTAATTAGAAATAAGGCATAGATAGGATAACCACCACGGTTTTGGGGGGAAAATCTCGTGCATTTCTCATGAACAGGCTCTAAACAACTGTTAAAAAGAAAGCCTTAGTTAATTCTCACAGCCTGAAAGTGACTCAAAACAATGCTGAACTACTCCGGGTCGGGAGCGGCAGCATGAGTCGGGAGCAACCATCACACACCCGCAGAAATGGCAGATTACACGTCCCCACAGGGAACTGCTCTGCCCCGGGGCCCCGCACCTTCCCGCCTCGGCCGCCCCAGCCTGAAGCCCTGGACACGCAGTGGCGCTGGCAGAGCGTCGTTGTCTCCTGCTCCCCTGGAGCAGTGAGGAAAGACCAGAGTCCAGCCTGATGCTGCTAGTAACCCCCAAAACTGCTGATGGGGAAACACTGCTACGCCACCCACAGAATTAAAAAATGTCAACGGGTCAGCTCTAAAAACCCACTGTTAACAACAGAAGAAAACCACGCCGTTACCTGTTCCATGTTGTACCCGTGCTTCTCTTTAGCGATGGCGATGTACTCGTCCACTGAAAAACAAGACAGGAGCCAGTGAGCGCACTCAGGGCAGCACAGTCTCGAGCACTGGGGCTGCAAGCCCAGACCCACGGCACGGGAGAACGACGGCTCTGGCACAGAATCGGCGATACAGCCCCGCTGGGACCCTCCATAGTAAATCCCACAGGGAAACGGCAATGTACTCAAATGTTATCAGCACTTATCACTAGAATGGCAAGATTATAATTCTTTTAAAAAACCGTGGTTCTACTTGATTTCTATGATAAACAAATATTTCTTTGATATACTGAAGAGTACTTAGAAATAAAGAGAAATATTAAAATTGGGTTCATTTTTTGTCTTAGCCAAGGCTAAAGATCAAGGAACCTATTATTTAAAAAAAAAATCTAAGCCCTGGCCGGTTCGATCCCCAGTTGGGGCACATGCCTGGGTTGCAGGCCGAGCCCCCCAGTGGAGGGCACATGAGAGGCAACCACACACTGATGTTTCTCTCCCTTTCTTTCTGCCTCCCTCCCCGTCTAAAAATAAATGAATAAAACCTTTAAAAAAACAAAACCAAAAAACTACAATAGTCGAGACGGCGAGCGAGGGGAGCGGCTGCAAAGGCTCGGCCTGTGCGTGATCGGCCGCCCCTCACTCCCAGCTGCGGTGTCACGGCCAGATCAGGAGAAGAAACCAGTTCTGAAAGATAGTTCAGACTCTTCTGTTAGCATGTATTATAATGCTAGGGAAAACTCTTCCACTGATAGAGGGAAAGTCAACTTAAACAGTAACCACTGCAGCATGAAGGCATTCATTTTCTATTGCCTTTTTCAACATTCAAGTAGACACCTGCTTATGTTGCTGAAAACACAAATTCCAGTGTACCTGAGTCAGTGAAGGGCACACTAAATGCCTTTAAAACGAAGGGATTTTAACGATGAGGGAGAAAATTACTCCCGAGTGTGTCCTCTGCTTATTACTTCACAAGAGGGTGGAGGATGCCAAACACAATGTTCTAAGGTTCTAAAAAAGGCTCGTGTGAGGCGAGGCTCCACATCTGGCCAGAGCTCTGCTAACATGAACGAGGTGACGAGAGGCGGTGAGTGCTCGTGTTCGGAGCATGGAAGAGCAGGAGGGCAGCCCCGGACAGGCCCTCTGCTCGGGGTTTCTTCTCTGAATGCCGATGCGGTGAGTGCCCAGCAGATGAACCTCGGCTCCTGCTACGCAGCCCCAGCTCCGCAAGCACGCGACTCCCAGACACAACCGCCCACCTGAGCCGAGGGAGGGGCGGTGTGCGATGGGTGCGGCCGCCGGTCGTGGTGTGCTGTCCGAGCACCGCAGCCCCCGCTGCCTGCATGCCGCCCGCGGCTCGCAGGCAGGCGCCTGTGCCGGTGCAGTGACCCCGTTCACTCGCGAAGCCCGTCCCTGATACTGCCACCGTATGCTGCTAAAAAATGTAGCTTGAAAATTCGGGGAAACAAAAGTATTCTTTGAATGTACTCAATGTTCATCTACTTTCTTGTTTTTTAACATAAAAATTGGCTGATGTTTGAAACAGTAAAACAGACTAAAACCCTGGGTTCTGACTGCTACCGCCGGGACCGGAAACATCTGGCAGGGTGTCCACAGCAAGTAGTCCCACTGAGGTGGCGCGTCACAGCACACACCCACCACACTGCCGTGAAGACCACCCTGGGGACTCACATGGAAAGCGGAGGAAGGAAGAACTCTATCTCACTGCTCAGGAAAAGTCCCTTGGAATGTCTCCAGGTCCTTGGAGGGGTGAGGAAGTGAGTTAATACATGGGAGCCTGGCACCTTGTGAAAGAATTACCATCCGATGCCCACGAGCAAAAACATAACCCTTCATTGCCCCCAGTGCACAACAAAGACCAGAGACACACTTGCCGACTGAACACCGAGGTGCTGTGTTATGCACGATGTCAGTATTATAGGTCTTTCTGCAGCAAAGGCAGCACAGATTAGGTCTGTGGTTAAGACAGACCCAGGTCAGACCCTAGCTCTGTCTCCTGACGGATGAGTTCACGGGCAGTGGTGCCTGGCACTTATTAAGCACTGTGTTTAAGACCATGTTTTAGCAGATCCTTGACCTTGCCAGGAAGCAGTTCCCGCCAGGAGTCAGTATCAAGGCGACACCCCAGCAGGAACCCTCCCCCACTGCCTCCTCACACAGTGTTTAGGACCAGAGCCCATTCGGAGGGACACAGCCGAGGGTACAAACGACGCTCCTGACAAGCCTCATGTCGCCCCGCCTTCCTACGCAGTCCAGACCTGAGCTCTTCCTCCCTTTGATAGCCTGGGGACATGGCTACGCACCACCACCTCTAGAGTCCCCTGTGCCTGTCCCCCAGCTCCCTTTACAGAGTATGCCTGAAGTTCCTGGTGAGGCATGAGGAAAATCAAAGTGTGAATTTTTCGAGCCCTGGCTGGTGTAGCTCAGTGGATTGAGCACGGGCCTGTGAAGCAAAGGATTACCGGTTCAATTCCCAGTCAGGGCACATGCCTGGGTTGTAGGCCAGGTCTCCAGTAGGGGACACATGAGAGGCAACCACACATTGATGGGAATTTCTCCTTCCCTTCTCCTCTCTCTAAAAATAAATAAATGTTTTTTTTACAGTGTGAATTTTTCAAAACCTCCCAGGTGGTTTCCGTAAGCAAAACTAAACTTTCAACCTAAGAAAATATAATCTACTCCCAACTGCCCTAATAAAACCAAAGGGTGCTTAGCGTGGTGAATAAAAGACAAAAATGAAAAAGAGCAAGAGAAAGACAAACTACCAGAAACAAACTGGTCTGAGACAAAGAAAACAAGACACTTTGGGGGCTTGACTAGCCCCTTCCTGTCTCTGGCAACAATAATCTTGATCGTGACTCTGAAAGATGAAAGGTTAACCAGAGTCCATCCCAGTCAGGTGGGAGGAGATACTGCAAACAGAGTCACTAAGGAAGACATGATCGGGGCGATGAGCAAAGTCCATCTGGCCTGAGAAAACGCCAGGCCATTTCCCTGGGCCTGGCCCTTGGCACCCAGCTGCCCCCCCAATGCACAGGGATGGCAACAGGGAGTCACCTGGGCGCAAGCAGCAGACTTGCCTTGCACAGCTCAGCTAACATCCTAAAGTGTCCATCAGAAGCAGAAGAATCAGACGAAGTGCAGTCTGCTTTAAAAGCAATGTATCATTGCATAATGCACTATTTTCTTTTTTTAAAAGATTTTATTTTCAGAGAGAAGGGAAGGAAGGAAGAAAGAAAGGGAAAGAAACATCAATGTGTGGTTGTTTCTCTTGTGTCCCCCTACTGGGGACCTGGCCTGCTACCCAGGCCTGTGCCCTGACTGGGAATTGGACCGGTGACCCTTTGGTTCACAGGCTGGCACTCAATCCACTGAGCCACACCAGCCAGGGCAATGCACTATTGTTTTTAAAACTTGAAAATTCCTGAGGAAACCACCAAGGAAAACTCTCCAAACTTAAATTATGATGGGCAAAGATATACATGACTCTGATTCTTTAAAAATACAGTAACTATACAAATCCCTTACTTTTTTGATAAGAACTTAACATGGAAAGCACAGGTGAGTAAGTTATGTTTTCAGGGTAAGATCAAATACAGGTAGAGTGTGTATAAGATTCATCAAGAAAATGTACAAAATAGCCCTGGCTGGAGTGGCTCGGTGGACTGAACACCGGTATAAGAACCAAAGGGTCGCCAGTTCGATCCCCAGTCAGGGCACATGCTCGGGTTGCAGGCCAGGCCCCTAATGGTGGACATGCGAGAGGCAACCACACATTGATGTTTCTCTCTACATATATCTCCCTCCCTTCCCTGCTCTCTAAAAATAAATAAATCAAATATTTTTAAAAAAAGAAAAGAAAATTTACAATATAGTTGACAATACTGTAAGTAGGTATGGTGCCAGGTGGCTACTGGAAATACCAGGAGGATCACTTTGTAAAGTATATGACTGTCGAACCACTATGCCGTACCCCAGACACTAACATAAAATAATACCAAATGTAAACTGTAACTGAAAAATGAAATTAGAAAAGGAAAATTCACAAAATTCCTTAGAGCACAATGAAGCAGGTATTGAGCTACCCCTCCTACACACAGAGCGTTGTATCAAGTAGCAGGCCAAAACCTGAAAGGAAGACGAATCGATTTCCTTCATAACTTGACACAACACAGAGATGAGGGGAGAGAATATAAACACAGAAGATAACAGTACAGATGTGGGACGTAAGAGAATAAAAATAATCAGTAAGTCATGATGATGACGATAATGAATCAAGAAAGCTTCCTAAAGATTCGACAGTTACACTGATTAGGTAACAGCAGCAGCAAACACTTGAGAGTTCTGGGGCCAGCCCACCTTCTTAGCTCTTCACAAGGGTTATCTCTTCAACCCTTGCCAACAATTCTATCATCACTCCCATTCACCAGTGAAGTGACAGGCTCAGAGAAGGGGATTTGGCCAGGATCACACAGCTGGAAAGCAGCAGAAGCAGGACCTCCAGACACCAGACTGCGTGCCGCCAGGACCTGTGGCGCTGAAGCCTCGTCTACACACCACTATCCTCTCTCTTGAGTAAAGGAGGTCGAGGGAGAACTGTCAGAACTGCATCCGTGGTGCAGAGAATGGAGCAAAGCTAATCAACAGAGTCGAGGTAGCCTGAGCACAGTCTGTGGTGGAAAACCACAGCCTGTGGTGGACCTGAAGGTGTGACAGGTCAACGGCTGACTTGTGCCAGGCTTCATTTGTTTCTGTACTCATGTCTTCATCCAATGGACTGGATACCCTTGCATCGTTAGTAAGTCTCAAATTCAACTGCAGACAAGGAGAATGTGGATGAAAATGGCCACGGTAACCTTGACTTGCCCATCCCTTCCCTGAGACACCACAGAGTCGAACACTGTGTGATCTTGAAAATTCCACGTGGAGTGAGAGGCTGATACCGTAAGATGGGTGGAGGACAAAGCTATAGCTTTAACACGGCTTTTTAATATTT